TGCTGGTGGTGAACGCGGATTGGCCCTAGCTTTCGAACAAAATATAAAGTGTATATAAGAGCCAATCCATCATTAAGGAGTCCACTTTTGGTCGTGGATCTAAGGTGTGATAACGGGCCTTGTGTCATTATGGATATATTCATAATAGAAAATTAAGGTCGTCAGCGGTACGTCGCATACTCATATGCAAGCCAATCTTAAAGCGGCTGGCGGAACAGACCCTCGCTGCAACTGACCCACTCGATGGGCTAATACAATACGTAATATGCAAAGAATTCCGTAAAAGGTGGAAGCTTAATCTCGTCCAGAAATTAGCCTTAGACTGTTTCATATGCAAAATATGATTTCATAATTAATGATTAGCCTATGACTCGAAACGAAGCATAATTCATGTTGACAGTGCAAGCCATCAGCTTGCTATTATTTCATATAGAAAAAGCCAGTGAAGTGTGTGATGCCCAATGAAGGAAGTCATGCATAGCAGAAATTTACTCGCTGAAAGCCATGGCTATCCTAGAACAGCATGCCACATGTTTGAACAGTTCAATTTGCACTGTTTGTGCTAACCTCAAGTCATTTTCCCCATTCACTTCTCTGAGATGGAGATGATCACTGTATCGTAATGACAAGTGAAGTTCTTGGGACAGAATGGAGATAGATTTGACATTACAAAATCCAGAAACGACTTAATTCAGATGTTTCAGAGTTACATGGGAATAGTCAGATATGGAATGAATTTGATTATGTTCAGAAGGAACGTTTTATAGTTGAAACTTGAAAGTCGGTAAGGTTTTTTGAGAAAGTGAGTTATTAACCGAAAGCTAGTAAGTTTACTATTTAAACGATTGCTAAACAGAAGATCATAGATGAGTTTACCCCAAACTTCACTTATTCCTATCGGATCAGCAGCGTTAAATTGCATGGTTCTGAGAAGACTACAATCCGAAAGCAATCTGCATGCAAACTTTGATCTCTAGTCGAAGTAGTGTAGCTGTTTAAGGATTGAGGTAAGAGGTAGGACTGCAGCAGCAAAAATGAACCGCGGCATGATTCACTCTACCTCATCCCTCGACTCATAAAATGTCATTAGTGTCAATGTTGACATGACAGCTGACTAGCCGGAAAACAGGATTGCTTCAGCTTATAGCAAGAGTATAAGAGATCTGATGTAAACTGAATGGCTGTGATGAACGACATTCTGCTGGTGTCATTCATGCGTGGAATATTTCGAGCGATACTGATACACTTCAATGCGTCTAAGAGCGATACGCCGTAAACGAATGAACGTAAACGTTGTCAGCAATAGTAACACGACATGTACCAGGATACGCCAAAGGATACGCGATGCTGCTGCCAAATCCAGCATGTATAATGAATTATTATTACTAATATTGAATATTACTATATATACTACTATTGAATATTACAAATAGTACTGATATGGAATAGTTCACACTAGAACTGATATTGAATCATTCACACAGTACAAGAAAAGCCGCTGCACGCGAAGCACAACCGTAGCGTTCAGAAATTGTTACAGCAACTTAATAAACCTGAAATTGCATATATACCATGATCTATCATTGGAATGTCATTTTATCTTTCCATTTTTTTATACAAATGGGTTGGACGTGACCTAAGATTCTCCATTGTTCTCAGAGCTTGTGAAAGTCCCTGGCGATGGCTTCTATGCTGAAAGCCGGAATGTCAAATTAAAACACAAGTGAGAATCTTGTTTTACGTCCAGGGCCAATCGCATTGAAAAGGTGGAGAGTTGAAAACCAATTACTCGGTCGTGCTGCAACAAATTAGCTATGATAACTTTTTTCTAGCAGATTTTGAACCGTAAGAAACGTATAGCAGTTGTACGGACTTAGTCATTATCTGGCTTACCATACTGTGCTTTTCATGAAGAAAAACAAATACTGATTACTGTCAAAATACCGTACTTTGTAACTTACTGACTGTAAACGTCATTGAGGCCCCTGATGAATGTCACGTCATTAAGGTAATAAATATGGCGGTTCCTGTAGCCTTCCTGCGTGGCAACTATTTCACCTGTAGAACAGTTGTTTGATAACAAGCCAAGTGCGCTAGCTGTTCGCTAGCGTGGTTATTCCTACGCCATTTATCGATAACGAAGCTATGGGGAAGAAACGGGGCTTCAACTCTTGAAGCTGATTGGTCACATTACCACCATCAAGAAAAAAGCCATCTGTGCCTATCATATGATTGGCACACCGACGCACGACCAACAAGATAGAATCCAATTCTAGAGATTGACTGGCACTCCAGGCAATGAAAAGGCATCATCTTTCTGCATGGTGGTATGTTGATGATGAAGTGTATGTATGTATGTCTGTGTACTTTCGAAATAAGTCATTTTTCTATTCAGTGGCCTTCTGATATCGCAGTGGAGAACACGGCACAACAGCCCGAGAGATCTGCACATCGAACGGTCGCCACACATGCAAGTTAAAGGAGCCGGCAATAGGACAATTATTTATGAGAAAATCAGCCTAACGATCTCGCAGAACCTTTCGTTGTAACCCGACGACGTGCAAATGCAAGTATAGGGTCAGACCTCATGAACGCAAGTAACATTTTCGCTACAAGAAACTCCTTTGCAATCACCGATATTTGAAAAAATATTAAATACAAATTTTAATGGTGTCAAATAAAACACCAATCAATGAATTTCGATGGCCACGTGTCCTTTCGCGTAGCTGAGACATGCGCGTCATACAGTACTTCCAACGTTCGCGAACTTTTGCTAGCGCTGGAGCTTCGGCAGAAGACAACCAAAGTTTAGGCATGGATTCCTAGATACATTTGCCCAAGGTCAGGTCATTCAAGATCCCCTCCGGGGTCTCCCACCGGTCAGTCAGCTGGAGAAGTAGTAGTTGATTCGTTTTCTTTTCCTGAGTCGTTCGCAACACGTGCCCAAACGATCACAGCTGTGGATTCTCAGTCTGAAGATACAGGGGCTGTGCACCATGGCTATCATGGATTTCTGAGTTCCGGAGGCGTAAGGCCAGTGACTCGTCTCAGAAAGCCCATTTCAGCGGCTTGTACCCTGGATCAAAGTTTCCCAGCAATGGTCCACGATTCATGACCGCAGGTAAGCATGGGGATAAAGATCGACTTGAACACTAGAGTATAGTCTTCAGACCCAGTTGCACTTAAGTCACAACGGTTCAGGCTGGTTCACGCAGAACGCCACTGGCTAGTCTAATCCGCCGGCTGGTCTCTTCGCTAAATTTTCAGTCACCAGTTTTCAGAACACGATCCGAGGTTCATGAACTCCTCTTCTCACATTTATTATCCAGTTACTTATTTGGTATTCATTTCCACTGAATCCGTCGTGACATATGCATCTATTGATTTTGTCAATGCATTGTAAAAATTTGTTGCGGATGGTAATTTTTCACTCGTCCATATCTAGGCAGGAAAACAAGAGTAGTGTTCTGTGGATATTTCAAAATATTTCTAACCATGAGATTTAAAAGCTTATGTTTGGAAGCCAGGGTTAAGCAAATTCTTTTACCCTGACCTTATCATCACAGCGTTTTTAACTGTTAAACATGCAGTGGTTGAAGCTACTTTAAATCCCTTCAAAAACTCAGTTTTCTCAGCAAATTACGTTTTACATCAATGGGCAAGAATTAGAATCATTTAATTTAAATTGAGTCCTGCTAACGCGAAAGCTGCATTAGTTTTAATCACCCTTCAACCGTAGATTAATAGAACCAGCTTGGTCGTTGCTAGAAGACACTGATGTGTATTCAGAGGACATCGCTGAGTTACAATAAATTTTCTTGTGTCTTTACCAAATTATGATTCCTCCATGTTAAACTGTATAATTGACTAATATATTAAGTGTTCTTACTTCTTATATGCAAGTTTGAACTTACTCATATTGAATTTTTTCAATTTTTGACTTATCTTTCATCTGCCTTTTCGATTTTCAATTTTCTGTAAAATGTCTGTTTTTGCAGATGACGAAAACGTGAACGATTTATGATGCTAACGATTTTCTGAATGGCAGCGGTGCATTTGAATTTGCAATTCATGAAAGTATTGCTTACCTTTCCTCCAACATTTTCCTCTAAGCGAAAACCTCGTGGGTCTTCATCAGTTGCAACACGATAAGGATGTATGGATAATAATTCAGTTCCACGGAAAACCCTGAGAGGTCATGATAATCTGGTGATATGCATAAAACAGTGGGGCCTAGAGGTATTATTACGGCAGGGGCTTTATGCCGGTCCATCATATCGCATTTTCCAGCCTAACGCTCTTAATTTTTAGCCGTTTATTATTGCTTAGTTGCTCATTTTTTATTATTATGCACATTTAATGTAGCGTCGTTGTTCTTAAGCTGCTAAACACAAAAAATAAGACTGCTCTCAATCAGGTAATAACAGCACAATCTGCACAAACGTGAATGCGTACTCTCTACTACCTGATGAACTTTTGGACCTCTCCGTATGGCTTTGCTGCAAATCTTCTGCGACACCTTTTTCAAGCAGGGTTCATTTTATGTACCTGAGAATTCAGCTATTAGAAAACTTCTCTTTGAGTAGAGAAGAAAGATTGGAGACAATCTTCTGAATAAAGTTTTCATGCTTGCCGAGACGTAGTTGTAACTGGGTGTTCACTGCGATCTATATCCACTATCCAAATGGTGCCAAAATTAGAAAATAATTCTGAAGACTCCACATAGGATAATACGACGTTTTGAATGAATTAAATCAAATCCTCCAATCAATGTCAATGTTGATTTCAGTCTATTGGATGGAGGACGGGTCTGCCTGCAGAAACAGCAGCAAGTTTCATTTCACAACAATTGACCGGAGTTGCGTGAAGTTGTTCATGTGAGTTTTCGTAACCACCTGATTCTCGAAGAACTTGATTAATTACGTCTTTGCAGTACTTCTGTGATTTTCTGATCAGAAAGTCCCAGAATTTGCGACGACCAAGAGGGAGGCTGAGGAAGCTTAAATCAGTCCGGCACCGAAACCAGCCCTCCATTTTCTGCTCTTCTTGCGTCTGAAATTGATCAGTAGGCAAGGATTAGGGTCGAAGATTTTCAGATTATTTCCGGATATGTTCAGCAGATGTCCCAAGGTCGTGCACAGTACGATGAGCACTGCCGACAGTATGAAGACGACCTTCGCCCATAACGGAATCACAGTCAAGCTAGGAACCTTCAGGATGACATCCATCTGGTCATAAATATATATGATCCAGTAGGTAATGGGAGAGTCTTTCTTCTTATATAGGTCTAAGGAAGTGGTCAGTGAGTTTGTCTTTTTGCGGCGTTTTTCGCGCTGGACGATTTCTTCGACCTCTGAGCTGAAGCTAATCGCTACCACTGGGTTATTTTCGTTACGGAGCGTCAGCTTCACACCGTTCTGACACATGATCACCTCTTTGGCGTAGAGCAGCAATACATCGGTTGTACAGTCTTCCCGAAAAGTGGAATATCGCCACCGAAGATGAGAGGCGAACTTCTGCGCCTTTCTGTTAGCAATTGCGTCGACGTCGTAGCCCTGGTTCGATTCGTTGTCCGTCGTCGATTGTGACTCTTCTTCTTCTTCAGCAATTTCCTGGCATCTTCCGTTGGCTGTTCCGGCGGTATCAATGCTGTCTACCATCACCAGTGCAATGTTGTACCTCTTGATAAACGAGTGTCCCGGCGCAAACGAGCCATGGGAAAAGCAGTCGCCAAATTGGCTATTCTTAATCCACTCTTTCAGCTTGATGGCCTCCATTTGACTCAGCCAGCGATCTGGGTCACAGGCAAAAGGCAAGTCCAAATATCCGTGATGGCACACGAAGTTGCACGGCAACGGGAACGTCGTACTGGTGAAAACAACATTGCTGCTTTCGATCGTCAGTGAAGCAGCGTGTTTAATGAACATGGTCAACGTCACGCAGCAGCTGATCACGATACGGATCATTTCACAGTCGTGGTCCAGGGCATATTGTCCTAGAAAGGCAAAACTTTTTTCATATATCGCATTAACGTTCACGAATTAATTCATTAATTAATTAATTAAAAAAATAAAAGTTGGGTTCAGTATTGGAAAGATCATTTACGAGATAACAAGGCGCATCAAAATTACTGTATATATTCTGAAATATTTTGGATGATGACCAAAGATTGTGCAATTCTTCAATTTGTCTGATGTCGCCCCCTGAAAAAGAATCGGGCATCATTCAGAATGCTGGAAAATGGTATGTAATAAAACTGATATTATGATTCATCTCGTAGCACATCTTTTAAATTAATTTTCTCATTCACAAAAAAACTGGTCGAGTAAACTGTCGGCGGATTTGTTGAATGCGCTGCTTGCGAATTCCAGAATGGCAAATAAACAGTGAAAATCTACTGAAACGCTGTGTAGGGCTGTTTCGAATTTCTCATCGGCAAATGGGTCTTGACACAGTGCGTTCAACGTCATTTTGTGCAAAACATGAAATATGGAAAATGCGGTATTACAGTTACTTTTTGTGAATGAATCCCACAACCATAACTTGGAGCATGACTAATCAATCAAGGCCAACAGGAAAGTATGACGACTTTGAACTGGCGCCATCTG